CCCTTTTTCCCCAACCCCTAGCCCTATATAACTCCTATTAATAATATACTTTGTAGATTTGCCTATTTTAGGCATGTCACCTAAATGGAATCAAACAATAAGTGATCTTTTGTGACTGTCCTTCTTTCCCCTAGTGTAATGTTGCATGTACTTCATTCCTTTTTATTGCCAAATAACATTCTGTTATATGGATATTCCACATTTTATTTATTCATATATTAGTTGGTGGACATTTGAGTTGTTTCTGCTTCTTGACTCTTACAAATAGTGCTGCTGTGAACACTTGTGTACAAGTTTTTGTGTGGACATATGTTTTCATTTCCCTTGGACATATACCTAGTAGTAGAATTGCTGGGTCATATGGTAACACTGTTTAACCTTTTGAAGAACTGCCAGAATGTCTCCAAAATGGTTGCACCATTTTACATTCTCACTGGCAGTTTATAAAAGTTTTGATTTCTCTGTATACTCTTCAACACTTGTTGTTATCTGTCTTTTTGATTTAACCATCCTCCTCGATGTGAAGTGGTATCTCCTTGTGTTTTGATTTGCATTCTCCTGATAACTAATGATATTGAGCATCTTTTCATGTGCTCATTCATCATCTGTATCTTCTTTGGAGAAATGTCTTTTCAGATCCTTTGCTCATTTTTAATTGGATTATTTGACTTTTTATTTTTGAGTTGTAACAATTCTTTATGTATTCTAGTTACAAATCCCTTATCATATATGTGATTTGCAAATATTTTCTTCCATTCTATGGGCTGTCTTTTCACTTTCTTGTTGGTATTCTTTGAAGCATAAAACTTTAATTTTGCCGAAGTCCAGTTTATTTATTTCTCTTATTTTGTCACTTGTGCTTTTGGTGTGGTATCTAATGAGGCTTTTCCTAACCCAAGGTTACAAAGATTTACGCCTACATTTCCTCTAAGAGCTTTACAGTTTTAGTCTGTGATCTTTTGAGTTAATTTTTGTGTGTGGTATGAGGTGGGCGTCCAAATTCATTCTTTTGCTTGTGGATACCCAGTGGTCCCTGCAACATTTGTTGAATTGTCTTGGAACCCCTCTGCTCTTAGAGGTATCTCTGTTGGAAACGTTTTAGACATACTGTGATACTCCATTTATCCTAATTCTTCTAAGGGCTTAGTTTTAAAAACAATACTTGATGGTGTATGAATCTCGAGCACAGTGTTACATAGAGGTTTTGGTGTAGAACAAAGTTGATGAAAGTGTAAAAGCCTGTCTTTGTTTTTCCAGGATGACAGCCTGATTTATTATTAGTTATTTATGCTCCTGTTTTGAGTGTTATATATTTGAAAAGTATAAAGCCTTTGTCTCCTGATACATGACACATACATATATTTTTGCATTATGGACTTAGTTACACTAGGTATTTCCTGAATGATTTTTTTTTTTAAATGACCTAGAAGAGTGTTTGCTGAGCAAGACTTCATGTATAGGAAGTAACTTTAGGGTATTCTGGAAACACAAACTATTACTGAAGAGCTATTATAGGTCACCAGGGTGAATGATAATTATCTTTTACATGCCATTGTAATACATTTCAGAAAAATTGTAACAGCAAAGCGTGGCGAATGGAAATTAACGTTGGCAATTATCTCTGTAATTATGTCACAGTAATTTGCATAAAGGTTGTGCCTGGATCTTGGAGAGTCTTGAATGCCAGGCTGAGTTATTTGGATTTTTTATATAGGCAGGAGGACCCTTTGAATGATTCTTTTTTATTATGGGAGTGCGATAAACAGAGCAGTGCCCAAGAAGATTAAGTTGACAGCAGATGTCGGGTGAGAAAAGGGAAGGTGATCAAGGTAGGAAGGTGAGTTAAAAGACAAAAATGCTCTGGACAGAAGGTGTTGAGGACTTGAAATACTGCGGCAGTGGAGATGGAAAAGAGTGGGTAGGCCGGGTGCGGTGGCTCACGCCTGTAATCCTAGCTCTCTGGGAGGCCGAGG